CACCACGAGAGGCTCCTACAGCGACTATGCTCTTCTCCGCCGCTAGGAGGGCCTTCTCGAGGAGGTCGACAGTGAGTGTGGTGGGACAGACTGAGAGGAAGTGGTCCTTGACTACGCGAAGGGAGTCAGGGAGGCGAGTGACTATGTAATAGAGAGCGATGTACATGGGGGGGGGGGTTCTTGGCGCAGAACTCAGCAGGAAGTGCGGCGCGGTAGCGAGTGTCAGAAGTGCGGAGGTGCGTGATGAGGTCAGCGACTGTAGGAAAGGCAACAAGGTCAGGAAATAGGTACGGTAGCATGAGGCGGCTCAGTGCAGCAGTGGCAGGGGAAGAGTAGCGCGCAACTACAGCGTCGTACAAGGTCTGAGCACTCTTGTACTGACTAAAGTGCGCGCGCTCAGTGGTAGGCAGGTGGCGACGCACAGCAAGACGTGCAGCAGCATCGCGGGTGGCCCACTGAGAGCGAACAGTGGGGTCAGCATCAGCAGCAGGAGCAGGGGAGGCGCCAGAGGTGAGGTCAAAGAGAGAAAGACCGTCCGCCCTATCGCACTGTAAAAACAGCTGCAGGTCCTCGACCCAGACCTCAAAGTCAATGGCTCGACCCTCAGCGTCAAAAGCAAGGACACTAGGGGTAGCCATGACGTCAGACTAGCAGTGCAAGCAGTGGGGGAAGGGCACGCTGTAGCAGTGGGGTTGTGCTCACCAGACAGGGCAGGTCGGGCGGCTCGGCAGTAGTGCGGCTCGGCTGCGGGGCGGCTCGGCGGTACTGCGGCTCGGCGGCTCGGCGGCGGCTGCTGGGCGGCTCGGCTGTACTGCGGCTCGGCGGCCCGGCGGCTCTGCGGCTGCTGCTAAGCGGCTCGGCTGAACCGCGGCTCGGCGGCCAGGCGGCCCGGCGGCTGCTGCTGGGCGGCTCGGCTGTTCCGGTACTGGGCGGCGTGGCGGGCGGCTGCTCGGGCGGCTCGGCAGGAGGGGAGACCGGCGGGGCCGCGAAGGTGAGGCGGCGGGGCCGCTACGTGAGGGCGGCGGGGCCGCGAAGGTGAGACGGCGGGGCCGCTACGTGAGGGCGGCAGGGCCGCAACGTAAGGGCGGTGGGGCCGCGTAGGTAAGGGCGGCGAGGCCGCGTAGGTAAGGGCGAGGGGGCCGCGTAGGTAAGGGCGGTGAGGCCGCGAAGGTGAGGGCGGCGGGGCCGCGAAGGTGAGGGCGGCGAGGCCGCGAAGGTGAGGCGGCGGGGCCGTGACGTGAGGGCGGCGGGGCCGCGACGTAAGGGCGGTGGGGCCGCAACTTGAGGGTGGCGGGGCCGCGACGTGAGGGCGGCGAGGCCGCGACGTGAGGGCGGCGGGGCCGCAACGTGAGGGCGGCGGGGCCGCGACGTGAGGGCGGCGGGGCCGCGACGTGAGGGCGGCGGGGCCGCGACTTGAGGGCGGCGGGGCCGCGACTTGAGGGCGGCGGGGCCGCGACTTGAGGGCGGCGGGGCCGCGACGTGAGGGCGGCGGGGCCGCGACGTGAGGGCGGCGGGGCCGCGACGTAAGGGCGGCGTAACGGGCCGCTAGGGGCGACACGGAGGGTCGCTAAAAAAAAGGAACGTGCGCCTCGGGGCGCGCTTCGGTGGGCCCTGGGAACAGTCCCTAGGAGGGGACCTGCTCTGATTCCATGTGAAAGAGTGAACGCGAATGAATGAACTACGAATGAAGTGGGTACAAGTACTAACCCTAATTGGGTTGTACCCCCTATGGGATACCCCACTATAGCCTACACACAAGCATAAGCTATAATGTTTTGACAGCGTGGGGCTGCAACGGGCGGCGGACGCGGCGCGAGGGGCTGCAGCAGGTTGCGCGGGCGGCGGACGCGGCGCGCGGGGCAGCTGTAAGCCGCGCGCAAGCTCCTACGGCGGCGCGCGAGGCAGCAGCGGGCCGCGTGCGTGCTCCTAAGGCGGCGCGCTCGGGACTAGAGCAGCGCGCGCAGGCAAGACAGAGGCGCGGGTGGGCAGCGCAACGCAGGCAAGGCAGGGCGCGCGCGGGCAGCGCAGCGCAGTCACGACGTGGGGCAGCTCAGTAACTGCAATGGTACGTGGGCCCTAAAAAAATCGGTCCTACAGACCTAATGCTCTGAATACCATGTCAGAATGCTAGGCAGGAATGAAATTACTAGATCAAGGTTTGGTACAAAAATGAAACCCTAATGGGGTTGTTCCCCATATTGGCTACCCCACTACAGCCTACACATATATAACTTGCATATAATTTGACAAGAGGGACTTGTTGATGGCGTTCGCCTCTTTGAGCCGTTCTTCCACGGCCCATGTCGAGTCAGACCTGCCAAAAGTGGAAAGTGGTGGACAGGGATGAAGTGCAGGGTTGTGGGACAGAGAGGGTGGAGGAAGGCTGAGATTCTGGGAAGGATAGCAGGTAAATGCCTGGTGATCAGTGACTGCGTGCGATAGGTGGAGAGGGGTTAGGAGGGCGGAGTGCATCAGTAGGGCCGGGAGGGGACGGTAGGTGGGTGGTGGTGAGTGATACAAGTACTCAAAATGACCGGCATTGTGCGCTCTACCTTACGAATCATCATGAGTGCGAGGCCAAGAGGCGGCAAGCGGATGGGGTACCTAACAGGGCAGGCGTCTTAGCAGTTAGATACAGCAGAAACGGACTGGGTACCTTACAAAGTGCAATGAAATCAGGCGTGCGAAACGAACGGGTTACCTTTCGGAGCCTGCGAGGTCAACTAGGTTGAGTTGACTGTTGCGCTGAAAGCTGTTGCCTCTGGAGGTCCACTGCATTGGTAAAAAGACACGGATACATTCCCGCACACACTAAAGTGAGGTACGAGGGTGTGCCATACGAAAGTGACATAAGTCAGAATCTTGTCATCGTCTGGATATGTTACCATTATTTTCTTATAACCACATGCATACTAGTTGGTGTAGTTTCATTCTTGGTTTTTATCTGTTGATGGTGTACCCCCCTTGCCACCTTCCCTACCTATATCTAGTACCGTGCTTTCTAATAAAACCTCTTCTTCTCTCTCGCAACTCTCGCTACGTTCCTAAGCTCCTATGTTCAGTTCGTTAATAGCGCCATTTTTCTTTTCTTCATGGCGTCGTGCAGCCCAATGCGCCCCCTCTCAGGCCCTGCCACGCCACTTCTTAGGCGTCGCTGCTCGCCCCATGTCGGCACGGTAGCAGTGCGTGATGTGCACGCCAGCGTGCGACAAGCAGCAGCAGTAGCAGCACGCATGAAACAGCGCACACGCAACCGCACACGATCGTCGGAGCCACAGGGTGCTTGGGAAAGACCGCTGTCACTGCACCTTCCGTGTGCGCCTCTTTGACCGCAGCTTCGCCCTGCGACAACACAACCCGTCCTGCCACTTGTACAAGTGACCACGAACCGTTGCAACTCGCAGCCACATTGTCACCACCAGCAGTAGCAGCAGCAGCAGCAGCATCCTCTCCCTGCCGCGATCTCGGCAGAAACAGAAACAGCGGGACAGAACCAGCAGCAGAGATGAAAGTACGCCTTCCAGCACTGGAGTAAAAGAGATTGGCGACCATTTCCCCGATCCCGCTCGGTTCATCGCAGATGATGGTCGGGCGAGCACGCTGATTCGACCAGGGGTGTGGTGCTCGATTTCCTGCCTTTGTGTCAGAATTAATTCCCTTCATCCACTGCCATTGCTTCTGGAAAAGCATGTTGCTACCCGATTGAGGGGGTGAGGTGGGGGGAGATCCAGGTGGGGGAAGAGAAGGTGGTGGAGAGTGGGGTGGGGATGGGAGGACTGGAGGGTTGATGCCCCCTATTCCTGGTTTGGGCTCTTGCTGTCTGTTGCAAGGGCTGTTGCTGCTGCTGGTGGTGCTGTTGCTGCTTCTGGTGCTGCTGCTGCTGTTTGTGCTGATGCTGTTGCCACTGATGCTGATGCACCTATTAGGCTAGGTGGTGATCCTGACTTTCCTCTTGTTCTCTCTGATGATGTTTCTGCAGTGCTGATGATGATAAAGCGATAGGGTTTCGATGGTGGTGGTGGTAGTGGTTGTGGTGATGCTGCTCATGATGATGATGACAGGCTCGTTGTTGTTGCTTCTGTTCCTGCTCCTGCTCCTGCTACTGCTACTGCTGTTGCTGCTGCTGCTGCTGCTGCTGCTGCTGCTGCTGCTGCTGCTGCTGCAGCTGTTGCTGATGCTGTTGGTGCTGCTGCTGGGTCTGCTACTACTGCTTGGTCAGTTGATGCTTCTGCTGTTGGGTCTGCTGTTGCTATTGTTGGGTCAGCTGATACTACTCTGACTTATTTCGCCGCAGCCATTGCTCATCGTTCTTATGCTGCTGCTGCTGTTGCCGCTGGTGGTGTGGATGCTGCTGGTTATGATGGTGCTGATGGTGATGCTGATGCTAACGATGGCGAGGCTGATGCTGCTGCTGCTGCTGTCGAGTTTAGTGATCATGCATTCACTGATTCTGCCACAGCAACTGCTCATGGCGTTGCGAGTGGTGATGATGGGTGTCTGTGCTGCTGATGCTGTTCATGTTATTGGTGCTGTGGATGCTGCTGATTATGATGGTGCTGATAGTGCTGATGCTGGTGCCGTTGCTGCGGATGCTGATGATGCTGCGGATGGTAATGACACCGCACGCAGCTCCCTCCCCTTCTGCAGCTCGTGCTCCTGCTTCTTCTGCTACCACGCTTGCTGAGGGAGAAATAGAGAAGAATGTGGAGGAAGAGAAGATGGGGGTGGCAGAGGGGGAGTTAGAAGAGGGAGAGGTGGCAGAGGGGGAGGAAGAAGAGGGGGAAGTGGCAGAATTGGAGGGGAGCAGGAGGAGGATTTGAAGAAGAAAGACGAAGGGGAAGAGGCTGAGGAGGAAGGAGGGGTGAGAGAGGGGGAACAGGAGGAGAAGCAGGAAGAAGCAGAGGGAACTGAGGAAGGAGGGGTGAGAGAGGAGGAACAGGAGGAGAAGCAGGAAGAAGCAGAGGAGACTGAGGAAGGAGAGGTGAGCAAGGAGGAGCAGGATGCGAATCAGGAAGAAGCAGAGAGAAGGGGAGGTGAGAGAGGAGCAGGAAAACGGGGAAGAAGGGGAGGAGAGTGAGGAGGACGGGGAGGTGAAAGAGGGGGAGGAGGAGGAGGAGGAGGAGGAGGAGGAGGAGGAGGAGGAGGAGGAGGAGGAGGAGGAGGAGGAGGAGGAGGAGGAGGAGGAGGAGGAGGAGGAGGAGACTCGGGAAGACGAGGATAGTAGGGAGGAGGAGGAGCAGGAGGAGGAGACTCGGGAAGACGAGGATAGTAGGGAGGAGGAGCAGGAGGAGGACCAAGAAGAACGGAAGGGCAGTGAAGGGAAAGAGGCTGGTGAGAGGGGTTGCAGTGGGAGTGGGGACGGTGGGAGTGGGGACGGTGGTGAGAGTGGGGACGGTGGGAGGGGGGACGGTGGGAGAGGGGACGGTGAGAGGGGGGACGGTGGGGGGGAGGACAGTGGGAGGGAGGTTGGTTTGCAACATGCAAGACCGCAGGAGGGTGGGAGGAAACGAAAGACCATGGATGAGCAGAGAGGATGGGAAGCAGGAGATGACGGAGTAGGGGAAGGTGGAGCAGGGAAAGGAAGAACAGAGGAAGGGAGAGCTGGTGAAGTTAGAGCAGTACAAGTGAGAGCAGCAGAGTGGAGACCAGAAGAAGGGAGAGCAGCAGAGGGGAGACCAGAGGAAGGGAGAGCAGCAGAGGGGAGACCAGAGGAAGGGAGAGCAGCAGAGTGGAGACCAGAGGAAGGGAGAGCAGCAGAGTGGAGACCAGAAGAAGGGAGAGCAGCAGATCTGAGAACAAGGGGAGAAAGGGCAGGGGAGGGAGTGGAAGGGGGGTGGAGGCGGTGGCAAAGGCAAAGGAGCAACAGGGCATGTAGACCGCGTTTGCTTCTCAACCTGCAGCTCTGCTCCTCACCTTGGTTGGCTGTCGCACCCGCAGTCACATCACCTGCTGCCACCGCTATTTGAACACCTTCTGTCACTTGTACCGTTGCAAGTGATTCACTGGCCCCTGCTGCCATGCCTGATATTGCACGCCCTACTGCAATACCAGGTGTCGCACCTGCTCCCACCCTTGAAGACCAGCAAACTGCAATGCATAGAGTGGTACCAAGAGTGCAGCAGGGGCTGTCAAACTGCTCACCTTCTTCCAATGTGCCAACCTTCACCTTGCCTTCTGCATCCACCCCTTCTGCATCCACCCCTTTTGCATCCACCCCTTTTGCATCCACCCCTTTTGCATCCACCCCTTTTGCATCCACCTTACTTGCATCCTCGACCCCACCATCTTCCTCAGCAGCCCCAAGCGTCCACCATCTTGCTCTTGACCCGCGAATCCGCTACCTAATCAACACGATTCTTGCTCCCACAAGGACAACTGGGCGGCAGAATCAGAGTATATAGCGCGACTGCATGTCCATCAACCATTTGCTTATGTTTGTCGGCAGCGAGAACATATGGCAACCGCATGACTCAGTAATCAACAGCACGAGTCCAAGACAAGATTAAAATATGCACTTATGATGTGATGGGTTAACAAAACAATATGGTAGTGAGTCACAACAATACAGACAGATACTTCCACGTTTTCTGTGTCGAGTACCGGTATTTGTTATTTTTTCAATTGAAGACCCCTCAAGGGTGGATAGTAGGATACTTTATTTCGGTATTGAGTTCTACTACCGTCCTCGCCCGGATATAAGACATGTATGTCTTATTCCATACATTAAAAAAAATCAGTCCTAAAAATGGACAAAAATCCGTTTAGAAGATACTTCCTCGTTATACATTTGCCATTTGCCCCTACACACAAATAGGTGTCTTATAATGAGGCTACCCCGTTTATAAGAGACGCCCGTATAATAGACAACCCCTGTCTACTATTCAACACTGTCTTATATCCGGGTGATGACGGTACCCCTTCTGGGCTGAAAACATTTGCTGATGAAGCCAAGATTGCCCAATGGCAAGAGTACGGTAGTGACACCTGGCAAACGCGTGAGGGTGGGAACCAGGGCTGACTTATAGAATGGATAAGCATGAGGTCAAAACGGCCCGGCTTACAAACCCATGCAATGGGCAATTGTGTAGAGAGGGGAACTGGCCACCAAGGCCCTTACGCCTCATTCTGCCATGGTTAATGTGGCAAATATGACTGGAACAAATTTGTGCAGGGCCATGTGGTTTTTCTCAATAATATTAAATCTCATTTGTGTTGAAGTTATCGTTTCATGCCCATCTAGCACCCATGTGCTACTCTGTCTTGACACTCTTTGGGCTGCGAGGCTTGTACACCATTGATAGAATAATCAGGAGAATTGGAATCACAGTTCCACTTTAGTACATGCCACTAGAGGATGAGTAAGCACCTGATAGTGTCATCACCTGCACCAAGAACAATCATAGCAAACACAGTCAAACGAGAGAGGCAATGCGCATAAAGGAGTGGGCAGCATAGAGACATGGAGGCCCAGAGCGAGATTTACGGCCCCAGCAGCAAGGTTTATGGAGAGATTTTTGAAACAATAGTGAGACATGCACGCTTACACAAAAGGCGCTGGCGACGTAGCTGCCGACGAAGATGCTATAGAGGGTATGAAGAAGGGCTACAATGCGGTGGGTGATGGTGCCCTTGGGGATTCCAGCTGTGAGCTGGTAGATGGCTGCATGAGAGTGAAGAGACATGAAGGGAAGAAAGGGGGGGGATAGATTTGGGAGAGATGATTGCAGCAACTGGTGAGCCCAAGTAACAGGTAATTTTCCCATGGTGGAGGGTTTGGGAAATGGGTATGAGATCTAGGGAATGGTGGTGCAAATGGGAATGGAAAATGGGAATGCACAGTAGAATCGGATGGTTACGGAAAAGAAATCAGGCTTGGAATGGAAGTAGGAACAGAAATGGGATGGTAAAAAAGGTTGCCACAAGTGCAGCAAATTGCGAGATTGTAGTGGTCTTCAGATTCTATTCATGCAACAATCAAGTTCCATTTGAAAAAAGAAAGGCTGTTTTGGGGTGGGTACACACCTTTGGAGCTGGCAACAACAAGCGCCCAATTCGCGAAGGCGATGAAGTCACCCCAATTCAAGCCCTGTTGGTAACACAGAGTGGGGGGTTGGTAAAAATGCACACGGTTGGGAGATTATGGAGTGGGGGACACAGACTTTAGGGCGTGTAACTTTTTTGCATTTTGTGATTTTGACGTACCGTCCGATTATATGGAATCGGACGGTACGTTTATACCGAAACGGACTGTCCGATTTGAATGTTTGCAACTTCGGACGGTACGAATGCAGATGTGTCACTTTTTCCACATGCTAGGGTTCCGCGATGGTTTTCCCTTCGCCATGTCAAATGTACACCAGTAACGCCAGTCACAACCCATCGCTATTTTCGCTGGTGGATTTCAGCGCTTCGGACAAACATAGGAAATTTTCAAACAACCACAAAGGCCTTCCACACCAAGCCCTTCGTGGGTAATTCTCGTGGCTTCTTGTATTGAAGTGAGGCTAGTTGTGATTGGTCAATGTCCCTTTTTGCATCCGAGTCGCATTTTCCCATTTTTTGGCGAGGCGGTCTGCTGAAATCCAAATTCGCCCGCCAATCGCGTGCGCGGACAGGCGGACAGTCTGTTTGTGATTTGGACCGTCCGTTGTCAGAGTTTCGTGTCGTTGGAAAGAGGAAAAAGTGACAGGACGGTTCGAATTTGTAGCGACGTCGCACAAATCCTCGCGAAAAACTGCACGACATCAAACGATAATGGTTACCCTTCGCATCGACGTACGGTCCACGGTTCGTTCTGTCGAGTGCAAAATAGTTACACGCTCTTATAATCAACAAATAATCTGAGATAGAGAGCGCAAGTGAAAACAGTAACGCATGCATATGGCTCTGCGTGCTTAGGGTAGGAGGTCCTCAGCAATCAATGAATGAGAATCTTGCCCCAATGGAACCAAGCTTGGCGAGTGGCAAACACCCTTTTGTGGGTGCTGTTCGTACATGCTCGTGTTCGCCATTTGCTCAAGCCTAGGTAGGAGGTCCTGTGCAATCAGAGAATGAGAAGCTTGCACTAATGGCGAGTTGACTTTTGAGTTGACTCAAAAGTCAACATGAACCAAGGCTATATATGCTGATCGTTAAAAGCTTCACTGGTCAGTACTGTGGTGCCAGAACCGGAATTTGACAAAGCAGTTTGCACAAATTGGCCTTGGGTGCCAATATGAGCAATTATGTTCTGGCTGCTGGCATGAGAGGGAGGTGGGGTGACGTGAATGGGGGCAGGAGAGAGTGACGCAGAGATAACGCTCGTTGGAGATGGCAAGGGGACAACCACATTGGGGGATAGGGGTGACGTACGTGGGGGTAGAGGTAAGGCACATGGGAGGAAGAAACTGGTGGGTAGGGGTTGCGGTGACGCATGTGGGAGGCAGAAACATGGGTGGTAGGGATGATGCACATGGGAGATGAAAGCATGGATTGCGGAAAGGAGGGCGCCCATCGGAGGCAGTAAGCACATGGGAGGCAGTAAGCACATGGGAGGCAGTAAGCACATGGGAGGCAGTAAGCACATGGAACGGGGTAAGGAAGAACACACATGGGAGAGAGAAGCATGGAACGGGGTAAGAATGAACGCACATGGGATAGAGAGGCATGGAACTGGGAAAGGAGAACGAGAAGCAAGGAACGGGGTAAGGGAGAACGCACATGGGAGAGAGAAGCATGGAACGGGGTAAGGGAGAACAAGAATGGAAGAGAGAAGCATGGAACGGGGCAATGTAGAACGCACATGGGAGAGAGAGGCATGAAAGCGTAAGGGAGAGCGCACATGGGAGACGGCGCTGACGAGCATGGTGGCGAGCATGTGGACGAACGTGGGCCTCCTGCCGGGCGGCACCATTCGGTTGTACACGTCTGTGTCCAGGGGGGCGCAGGTGACCAGTGGTGGGTGGATGGTCTGGCAGGGAGTCACGAGGGAGCATGATAAGCAAGCACGACGCATGACGCAGGACGCATGAAGCAATGACACATGGCGACGCATGAGGCAAGCACATTCATACATTCTTATGAAGGTGAAGCATAGAGCATGAAGCATGCGTGTGCCAGCGCCAATGAGCTATGTTGGAATATAAGTGTTTACCGTAAATACGCGCGTATCGTATATACGCTATCATATACGCTATCCGCTAAGGGGTCAGTTTGGACATACGCTTTTTCGGGCAGGGAACAAAAATCCCGGGCAGGGTGGAAAAAACGTCGTGCACAACACCGAGAAGGTATTCCCTATTTTCACTAAGACTTTCGTAGCAAATTTTCTAAGTCTGAACGGCGACTGGGGTGGGATGTGTAGTAGATACTGTCGCAAGAAGTAGGAATCGGAATGAACTCTGTTGGGAAGCGGTAACGTTAAAGGACACATCCAGAATTACCGTGTCGGCCCCAAAACTGTCACCACTTTCACGCGATTGGTCGAAGGTTTTGAGCGGGTTTTTATTGCGATTGGTTCCCATTCTTCCCACCGAACCTCCTTCTGGGGTTTTCCGAACCTACAAATTTTTCGTTGACTTTGTTGTGTAATTTGGGGTGTGGCCTTTAAATAGAAATGACGAGTGCAGTGGGGCTGGCTGGTAAGTAGCGTGAGTGGGGTTTGTTGAGGGAAGTTTTTGACAGGTTGGAGTGCGTAGATGGGATGGGTTTCAATGCGGTACTAATCGGAATTGTACTTCTGAACTGCCAAACTGAAAACTTCGAAGGCACATTCCTGCTTCCCTGGATCTCCGAATTGCAAAATGCTCACCTGGAGATTTCGCATTTTTCCGTATACACACGATTTATTTTCCCGGGTAGAACCTCAAAACTTCTGACTGCGTACAGCGTATTAGCTGGCATATAGTGTTTTGTGTATAGACTCAAGCGTATATACGCTTTAGGGTCGGAACGTTTCCTTTATTCCAACTTAGCCCAAGAGAAATGCTGGGAGCACATGCACATGAGCGAGAGAAGCGCAAAATTCAAACTCGCAGAGATCCCGGAACGGTTCAGAGAGGTCCAAAGAGGTGAAGAGAGCCACAGTTTGGTTCAAAG